CCCCCCCCCGCCCCTCCCCGGCTCTAGAGGAAACGGACTGGTCGTTCAAACCAAAGCCGAAACTCCCCGGGGTAACCGGCCACTTTATAACTGACATTTTAATTTGATGCGTCTGAGCTTGAAAATAAGTGTCCGGGGCTCTGGGCAAAACCGGGATGGGGGAGAAGCTCGGCCAGGAGTTGCGGGTGGGTAAGGGAGAAGGGGAGGCCCGGGGGCTGGTTGCCTAGTTTCCTTCTCGCCCTCCGAGGGTGAGGTGATAGAGGCAAATCCCAGCCTTCCGAGCCTGGGAAGCTGAGTGGGAGACTGCGAGGAAGGAGCCCAGGCGCCCCTCTCCGGGGTCGCTCTCGAGTCGTCTGGGCCCCCAGCGCCCCCGACACCTTCTGGACAAGCCGAGGGCCCACCTGGGTCTTAACCGCCCAGTTTTGTGGCGGTCGCTAGCTCAGGGGAGGGAGCTCAGCTCTTCCTTGGGGTTGGGGGGCGAGGGATGGAGGAAGCTTCTGCAGCGTTCGGAGGTAATCCAGGCATCCCATCCTCTCGGTTACACACGCTCCAAACTTGGAAAGCAGAGGAGGTGCGGCGATAGCCTCAACTCCCCTGAGATGCTCAGACACTCCGGAGGTTACCGACAGCATCCCCCTCAGATCTGCGGAGGCGCTGGGGACCAGGGCTTTGGAGGCGGAGGGGGGCGCTGAGCGTAGGCTAGTGTGTTCCGGGTCGGGAGGTAAGTGATCAGCGAGGCTCTGCGGATTAGCCACAGCTACTTCGGGAGTAAATTGTCCTGCTGCCTCGCTAAGTAGCCACGCTCATAAATCCTTCCTTCCCTTCTTGCCAGATGCCTCCCATCCCCGAGGTTTGGCCCTGGTTTTCTCAGTCATATGTCTAAAGCTCATCTGCCTGTCCATTTTACAAAGGAGTCTCCCCTGAGAATCATAAACTTATTGCAGGTTTTTTGAAATTGGGAGAAGTTCTCAGGACGGCTGCTGAGGGTGCTTAGAGGGGGTGTTTGGAAGTTGAAGGGAGCAACCTGATGAATTGTTGTGGAATCAACCGCGTGACTCCCTGTGGAATTCGCCTGCTGTTATTGGGCGCACAAAGGACTAAGATATAGGGTGCGAGTGGGAGGGGGACCAGGCGGTGAGAGAACTGTTTGGGAAAAGGACAAGTTAAAGTCCCCAAAGATGCCAAATAGGAGACATAGGATCCCTGCCGAGAGCTTCCTACAGCCAAATTAAAAAGACGGGTAGGAAAAAGGATCAATAAAGATCATCAAACAGGAGATTGTGAGTGGATTAATATTGAAAGAAGAAGGGAGAAGAGATGAAAAGAAAAGACGGTCAGGACAGACTGAGCGTTTGCCACTTATTTTCATCTTATAGACCAGGCAAGCCAGAGATTGAGGATTGAACCTACTCTTCTGATCTTAAGTGGAATAATTAAATGTATTCTTTTGGGTGTGTGCATTTCACTGCTGTTCCTCTCCGTTTAGTATAGTTTTTTTTTTTTTTTCTTTCAGTTCCTGGTGAGCAAACTATTTATGTTTGAATCTGTGGTCTTTGAAAGACGCTATTCCACCACTTTAATCTTTGTTTTCCTCCATGTTGCAGGATACCAGCTATTCCTGTGTTATGTGTTAGGTATCAAAAATGTAGAAAGCACCAAACCCTACTTTCAGCTTCTATCACTATCCCTCTATTCCATTCCCCTAGCCTGTTTACTATTGAACTACTAATACATATACTTTCTTCTCAGAGTCACACTCCTATAATTCTCTGATAGTCAGACCTTCCTTTCCTTCTAATGTCTTCTCCTTTCTCCTCTCTCTTCGGACTAGATCACTAGGTAAATCAAAGATGCTGTTGCTCCCTCAAGGTATGATTTCCTCGTGCTGAGGACTTAAAGATGGGAATAAACTATTTTTTTATGGATGGAAGTATGTATGCAGTTAAGATGAGAAAGTTAATTTAAGCACTTTACACTGTGGAAAAGGTTTTTATTCTGTTGTTGGAAAGATACTAGAAAATTGGAAGTTTTAGGAAATATGTGTCTCTTCAGAGAGAGCCAAGAAAATAACAGATGTTTAAGATAAAAAAGCAGAATGGGTGTTATTTGTGAGTGTACTTCATTTTGTAACTGTGGTTTGAAGAAAGACAGCAGTCATTTTAAACAGGTCCTTGGAAGATTCTCTAGACTTTAGGCAACAGCTTTCTCCTTTCTGGCTATGTTCTAATTGTTTCGTTCAGGACTGCTGGGAACTCCTAGCTCCAGGGAATTTGTGGTGTTTCTGATTTTCAAGAATGAAAGATTTTACCAGGAAAAGGCAGCGTGTGTGTGTGTGTGTGTGTGTGTGTGTGTGTGCGTGCATGCACGTGCGCTTGATCAGTTTGCTTTAGGATTAGTGCCCTCCTGTTTTATAAATGCATTTTATTTCTGGACTTACACAGCATTGATATTCCGCTTATCTAGCACCAACTAGTGTTATGAGTGTTAACACCACCAAACTCAGAACAGGAAATTACTGAAGATTCTAATTATATTGGGATAATTCTCTATTATTGTAAGATAATTTGTAATGTTTTTAAAAATATATACTTCTTCTGAGAAAAGAGTAAAAATTACTTTCATGCATTTATGCATATTGGTGTGGTACAAATAGACAATTGGCATGAAAGATTGAATTTCATGACAAGTATACCATATATTTTTCTATTTTAGGAGCAGAGTAAATTCATAAATTCACGTCTGGAATTTGCAGTAAGGAAAAGTAGGCTAGTTTACCTTTGTTTAGAACAATAATTTCATGTATTCTAGCTTAGGGAATATTTAAAAGGCTTCAGAGAGCAAACTTTTCAAGTACTTGCAGAGAATGAGGAACCATAAAATTGTTAACATTTATTGACTTCCTGGCCTTCTGTGTTCTGGATACTGGGGATTCCAAATTCAACAAGACAGGGTCCTAGAGCATCTCCCATTGCAGTCTGGTTGTCCTGATCAGAATACATACTGATCCTTTTTTGAGCAACCCCCTGAGGACCTGAAGGAGGCACCGAGCTGTCCTAAATAAACTCTTAGCTTGCTTAGAATTATTGTTGAGACTTAAAAATAACTGTTCTCTAATGTATGCTGGGTTCTCCAATTAGTGCAAATAGCCAGAGTGCCTTAACTGTGTTTAGCACTTTTCTGATTTAGGTCATGGCTTTGCTGGAGCAGCAGAGGGAGTCACTCTGAGAAGAAACATTAAAATTACAGGCTGCAACCACTTCATGGAGATAATGGGGACGCTTGTGGGGTGGGGATTGAGGCAGTGCTCTTCCCTTGCTCTTTTAGCCTATATCTTTTTTAGTTTGACTTTGGTGTTTGTGGCAGTTAAAAACAAACCTGTTCACATCCCCATGAATTAGAAACCCATTAGCTCATTTGGATAGTGTATGCTAT